GGCAAGAGGGACTTGCCAAAGCCCCACATTTGAGCTGCAAAGGGAAAGCCCCCCCTTGCTCCCCAACCATTTCCATCTCCCCATGGCTTGTGCACTGCAAAACACCCTTAACACACCCCCAGCAGCCCCGGGGTGCCTGACTTCAGCCACAGATTTTATTGTTAACGAGCTCACCACACCAGCAAGCCAGGACAGGGGGTGGATGGTACATGAATACATATCTGTAGTAGTTACACAAACTAAGATTTGTACAGCTTTTGTACAGAGGAAGAAATAAAATGAATCCAATAACAAAATAGACATTAGCAGTCAAACCTTTTTTTTTCTTTTTTTTTTTTTTTTTTTATATCATACTAACAAAATCTGATAGCCAAAAAATGACTAAGCTACAAAATTGTAATACATACTGTACGGGTAAAAGGTTATCATCCATTTATACATCTAGTATCATCTTTATTCTGGTAACTTACATGAGGCCTATAGGATCTTAGTGTATTAATAACTCCCTACAAGATAGTGTTGAGCTGCTAAAGCTGCCGAACAACAGAGTACTGGAATTTTTGTTAAGACTTTTACAGTGTCATTTGCATCATTTTGTTTTAATGAAACCCTCATGCATCTCTACTGTAAGCCAGAGGAACCACTGGTGGCTAGGGGTAGGCAAGAGCTGTAAAGCCTTGGCTGGCAACTTTGCACCCGTCATTCAGTACGGCACTGGCACGGTGCTGCCCCTTGCTCCAGCTCTCTGGATGCTGTAAGGAGGAATAAAGCTGAAATCACCAACCAAGACTGATTCTTTTCCCTTTGGTCTAGAGGGTTAGAGAAGAAATCACTAAACATGGAGCAGTCTCCATTTCAAAGACTTTTTTCACTGGATAACGTCTTAGCTTTCAGCAGAAAAGCATCACTAACCGTTGGGGTAACACAGCTGGCCATGAGGGCTGGTCTCACAACCGGGGTGCTGGTCCTTCCCTTGGTGCCGAGGGCTCCAGCAGCGTGCTACCTCCTGCTCCCCACCCTGCACTGGTGCTCTGAGGCATGATGCTCAGGACTCGGCTCCAGATGCAAAACCAGCATGGCACGCACAAGCTGGGAGAGGGGCTGGGGAGAACACAGCCCCCCTGTTCCAGCTCTTGGGGATCAAGATAAGAGCAAGGCTGAAGCCAAAGGGGGAGTGAAGGCACAAACAGGAATCAGCCCCTGACCAACAACAGGAGATGGGTGCATCAGTGCTCCAATGCCTTTGAAAATCTCCCCCAAAGAACCAAGCCAGTAAGACCAAATATCGTGAAGTACTTTATACACCACCACATAGGCAAAAATAGCACTTAAACTTACAAATAAATAGAGGGGCTGGGGAATCTCCTCCTTGTCCTTTCCAAGTTTGTCCCTAGTTTGGTCTCTTACAACCTCAGAAGGGCAGCCAGAGGCAGGTGCCCTTGGGAAACCTGTGCCAATTTTGGAGGGAGGACATGGCTGGTGTCCAAACCCCCTCCTGGCCACTTTATACAGGGTTGAGCTGAAACCCAGATGAGGCGTGTGATAGCATGTCCTGTTGACGCTGTAGTTGGTCCTGTTTGGGGAGCAACTCCCATGGACCTGCACCCCAAGGTGGGTGGGGACACATTTCGGTACAGCCCTGCAACACAAAGACCACACAGCCTCCACAGAAAGCCAAGAAGTGCCATCAGCTCCTGGTTGATCCTTAGGGACCAGCACAGCTATTTACAGCCAGAGACCATCAGCACTAACTCTAAGCCTTCTCTGACCCATCTGCTGCTGTTCTGCCCCGTCAGCTCGGGTGACGATGAAGAGCCACAGGTCTGAGCCGCTCACAGGGGATGGTCCCTGGGTCCCTCCTCCAGCCAGAACGACTGCCACCCTGACAACTCTGGATCTGATTAATGGAACCAAATACATGGTCTCCATAATACTCCTGGGGGATCCTGCCCTGTGCAGAGCCAAAGGTGCATCAAGGGAGGTGGAAAATGCAGGTATCCTTCCTCTGTAGATGAAGGCAGCTGATCACAAGTCACTAGAAAACCTATCAGGGAAATTAAGTTACAAACCAGAATAGGCTCTCCCACCTGCAGGTGCCCGGGAAGCCCTGCCTTGGAGACAAGCGGCACTGCAAGAAGCACTCCGTTAGCTCCACTCAACCCAGTGGAAGCTGCAGACGTGACTTCAGAGACCATCCAGCGAAGAGGAGCACTCTGGGAAACACCAGCCCTAAATTCTTAAAAACAGTAGCTCCCAGTGAGGTATTCACTGTCGCGGGCTGTAACAACAAACACTCCCTCTGGGATTTGCCTAAATCACTCAGGAGATGAATACACCAACCAGGAGGATTTTGGAGACCACACCTATGATCCCTTGGGAAACTCCCAGAGCTAGGCAGGGATGCGGTAGTCTTCCTGGTGACTAGTAAGAGCTGATGAAACACTTCTACAAGGCAGGATGGGATCCCACTTGAATTATTTCCAGCCAATTAGATCCCAAGCTCTGCCTCCCCCCGCTGTGCGCCAGATGTAAACTGTGTTTTCTGACCTGCTTTACTCCTCTCAAGTCACCTTCCTCTTTCATCCTCCCTTTGAATGAAGTGACATCACCAATCCTGCACCGAGTGAGCAGGGTCCAGTATTGTGTCGTAGCCCAGATTCAGCAACGTCCTCCTCATGGCAGAATTGCAGCCATGAAGCCCAAGTCTTTCCCAGGTTGCTTCTGGGTGCCCATCCTTCAAGGGAGTAGGAGTCTGGCAACACACTACAGAAGAAGTAACACAACTTTGTAGAAAATCAGGGCAAAAAGCAATGAAGCTGACATGCCGTGATGTTCATCTGCCTGCAGTCTGGCTCAGATCTCCTCTCTCAGTGGTCTCTTCTGTCCTGGCCTCTTTCACAGATGCCCCATCATAACACAAGAGCTTCTGAACACTGGAAGAGTTAGGCACTAACTAGGAGAAGCCTGGTAAAATATTGCTGTGACTCTTTCTTGTGGTACTGAACAATGAATCTGAACTGGACTCTCTCACACCTTTAAGAGCATATTATCCCCTTCCTCCACCCTAATGTCCCTTGGGAGCTGTGGTGCAAAGTTAAAGAGAAGAGTAAAGCCTTCAGAAGAAGGAATAAGACCCTTGCCTGGGCCTGCACTGCTGCGTACGGACACAAGAGCTGTGTGGGCTTGTCTTGGATTCTTTCTGCTCCAAATACTCGTACTCAGGTCATGCACAGAGGATTGCTGTACCCGTCAAATACAGACAGCCACTACTGCATGAATGCTCACAGCAGCACTTTAGCCTCCTCCATTCCTGGTATTAAGGGATGGGCATCATACTGAAGAGTCAAGGATAGCTCTGGAGAATTGCCAGGCAATCCCCCATTAGCTGTTAAATTAAACAGGCAAGGAGGGAATCATCTCCTCAGGGCATCGGTCCCACACTGACTGTAGGCAGCATGGAGCTCTCAGGCTGGCGATGCTGAGATCCAGCTGTCTGTGGAGTCCTGTGCTCAAAAAAGACCCAATAAAGCACATATGACTGAGGGGGACCAGGCTGCGCAGCCTGGCTGTGGCCCAGGGCATTGGCAGGCCAGCCCAGCAATCTCTCTGCAGGAAGAAAGGCCAACCACACCTGAGTGAGGTGTGCCTGTCCCCAAACTCAGAGCCACCACAGCTCCTTCCCCAAACAGCAGTGGGTGAGAAACAAAATAAATAACCCTCTGAAATCAGATTATCTCCCACAACATGCTATGATACAAGTACTAGGTGCAGCCTCCATGCTCTAGAACAGCGATGCCTTCTAGAAGGCAAGGAGGGAAACATCCCCACACCCCGTCTTCCTCAGCCTACGCGTGCCAGCGTGAACAGTCAGCCCAGCAGGTTTCACTTGCTTGTGCAGGTCTTCAAGACACCGACGGGGGTAGAAGGGAAGGGACAGACGACGTGGGAAGCGTGCAGCCTCTGGGCACACGCTTTGGAGTTGAACACCACAAGCAAATCCCTTTGCAGCTCCTGTGGGCTTACCGGGACTTGCTGACACTTCAACCACCATTCGGGGCAGCTGTCATCCAGACCAGGTCAGCTGGTGGGACAAGGGCAACTCAAGCAACACAAATTCCACAGTCAAAACCAATACAAGTAAGAAACCAAACCCAGAGAGATCTTTCTGCTCCCTCCTGGAACAATGGCTGCCTTGGAAAACTGGACTCCAGGATTGTCCTGATTACATCAGTTAGTATATTATAAACATTGTCCTGCTTTAAAGTGAAAATACTGTGTCTGGTCTTTTGGAGGTGCTAAAGCCAGATGTGGTATCGTTTTTCCTGACTGTGCACAGGAGCTGATACTGGCGTGAAATGATCCTCCTTCACCTCTTCTCTATCAGAGCTTCTCCTGGAAGAAAAGAGACCTTGTTAGGCAAAACGAGAGCAAGCAGAAGTCTTTTTACAGAAGAGGAAACCGAGGCATGGAGCGGAATGCCACCAGGCCTGCCATGTCCTGACCAGCAGCTCTGCCCCGTAAGTCACATTGCCTCTTCCTCAGGCTGGCCATCCTGCCTGTGAGGAGATGGAAGTCTGAGGCTACAGGTCTTGCCCTACATCATGAAAACCATGGGAGACTAGGACAGCACGTCCTACAAATGCCACCCATGTAAAGGGGACGGCAGAGATCTGGGACCGAGCAGGTTCTAGCTGCGGCTGCCACGAAAAGATTCATACAGCCACTGACCCAGGAGACTGAGGTGAAACTCCCTTCTCACTGCTCCTCCCAGAGCAAGCACCCACTGCACCTCAGTGTGCATCTCACTAGCACCTTCCTGATGGCTTCAAGTGATTTTAATGGTAAGGTGATGTTCCCACCATGCTTGGGAACTGGAGTTGTGCAAAGCCCCTTGCTTTCACTGTGGGAATGACACAGTCAAGCTTTGCTGGCAGAACTGCCTCCATCCAAGAGCTGTCCCCAGCACAGCAGGCAAGAAGTCACATTAAGCAGTCACTGTTTTAAACAACATTCTGCTTATAACTTACCTCTTGCTTGTGGGATTTATCCTGCTGGTGAATTCCGTTAGCAGACCCAGAATTTCCAACAGTCTGCAAGGGAGAATGTACAATACTTACTGAAGAGGGACACAGAGCCTAGTGGTGTTGCCTACAAGCGCTGAAATCTGGCAAGACTGCCATCTCCTTCCTTAGCAGCCTGCTCCACACAAGGAAAGGAGAATGCAAAAATCCCACCCCACTTTTGGCAAGAAGCTTCCTGCCCTCTGCACCCTGGCCCAATCCCCACATGCCAGATTGCATCCTTCCCAGCTACAAAACATCCCCCAAGTTCCATATGGACACAGACCTGCTCTTCACTTCTCACTCTTAAATCCCAATAAACAAACCCTCAGCCAGGGGCAGCATTAGCTGCAAAACACGGCACAGTGAACATCCCAGCAGTGAAAAGGACATTTGCCATTCCCCATTTCCCATCTCTGGGGATGAGTCTGCAGCCAGGGCAGGCTGTTCTATTTTTAGAAAGCACAAGAACTTTTAAGCATTTATAATGTTTCTTTAGCAGGGATAATATGGAGCCCTTCAGCTTCAAAATGACAGTACAACTGGCACAAATGAGAAGAAAGCTGCAGCCTGAAGTTACAGCATGCCAGATGTCAATTCTTGGGTCCTGGTAATCAGATTCACAGTGGTTGGTGAACTGCTGACGGCAGCAAAACCAGACATTATGGGCAGACAAGACTGCAAGGTTTAAAACCCATCATTAGAGGAACCCCAGCTACCCAGCTTCCATTCTTACTGTGATCATGAAGGTGCACAACCAACCCTACAGGACAGAGGTTTAGTTTGGGCAGGAAAAACTGGCAGAGATTCAAACCGAGCTCTGCTTTGAGAGCCTGAACTGTTTGCCGGGCAGTGAATCCTACCTGGATGGATGGCAAGAACAGTGCTGCTGTAGTCACTCAGCCTTGGGGACTGCACCCACTGCCACAGGGGATTCAGGCCTTGCACAAGGCAACATATGCTACCCTGGCTGCCAGCACACCCCATCTCTGCACTAAGCAGCTATCAGATACCAGGAATTAGGTTTGAAATTTGGTCTCAGTACATGGTCACGATAATGAACAAAGTGGCGCAAATCACTTGAAATTAAATAAACAAGCTCCCACAGCAATCACTGCAAAACCTCCAACGAAAGGCCTGAATGCCAAATCCTTGTCATTTCCTGCAAAGCTGTGAGGTCCCCAGGGTCTCCCAAGCTGAGGATCTCCCAAGACACAGAGAAGGCAAAGATCTTCTTCCTCTATTACAGGACAAATACTTTGCAGCTGCAGGCATAGAACAGCAAGGCAGCAATTACTTGACAATGAGACGAAGACACAGTGCCATTATGCTCCCCCCAGCTCCTGCACCTCCTTGTCTAACAGCAAGGCCAGCCATGCGCATCAAGGACTGCAGAGCGCGGCGGCTGACGAAGCCTGCAAAGGGAGAGCAGCAGCAGCTTGTGGTAATTAGAGATTTCCTTCTTGAGCGCGCTGCGAAGTGAAGGCTTTACAGACAAAGGGAGAGCAATGCCAAGGCAGAGCCTGGGCAACAGCTGCTGCTGTCAGAGAGGAGATGGGAGGTCAGAAGTTAGTGCAGGATGGGTTACAGCAGAAACGTGGCTTCTGGGGAAGAACCATGAATTCCCTAACTATTGCACCAGGATCTCTTTAGGCCAGCAACATCCTCAGGCTCAGCCTGAAAGCCCCTGGTTAACAACTCCCCTTCATAAGGGGAAGGATGAACAGATATCATACCGAAACTAGGAGCTTTGATCCAGACTTCCTTGTAACTAGGCGCTTTAAAAATCTGACATCAACAGAAGTTTGAAGCCTAGCTTCCCGCAATAATCCTCTGTCTGTCTCTTAGTACCATGGTTTGTAGCTGAAGGCATAATACTATCTTGTCGTATCTCTAAGATTTCTTAAGCATGAAAGTATCAAAGTAATACCAGGGATAGATTAGCTGACCTCATAAGGTCCATTCCAACTCCCTTTATGTAAGATTAGTTATTTTCTACAGCTGGGGAAGAAATAATTACCACCTGCACCACCTCTGGAGACAGGAATGCGAAAGGGAGGATTTCCTTTTTTCAAGGGACTTAGTATTAAAGCAAACAGAGAATAACTTTCCCCACCCCTCCCATAGCTTCCAACAGATGAGGTTGTCATGATGCATTTTCATCTGACACATAGCAATTACAGCAGAAGCTAAAGTCACTCTGGAGGTACCAACAGGATTACAGTACGTCTTGGACTGCCACAAACTTGTCATCACAACTACAGCTGTCCTGTCTGGTGCTGGCAGACGGCTGCTGCCGCTGCACTGCGGGATATAGAGACTTGTCTGCAACACACAGATGCTCAGCTGAGCCAGCAGAGCTTTCAGGGCTGCAGTTTTTACTGTGCACCCTCCTCCTGACTGCCTTCCTGCAAGTACTACTGCAATGCAAACAGCCATTTGGTGTATCTGCAAACTGTGCAGAAGACAGTGTCATGGGAGGAGAAGGCTTGATACCCCTCAGATTACCTACCACAACATATCTGCACTTGCATCCAGGAAAACAAGCTCTCTGCCCATTTTCCGTGTCTAGAGACTTGCTCTGTACTATCCTAAGGTGTCTGCTTGAATGCGAGTTGTAGCTCATTACTGCAAGAGAAAGACATTTTTCAGCTAAGAATTTAAATAAGCAAGTACCAGAGGAGCATTGGTGCATCTGGGCTCTGAAAGCCATGACCTGGTTGCAGACACAAGAGAAAATACAGCTAGAAGAGCAATAAAGGACATGAAGCACAAAGCTTGGCACAAGGGGCACATCACTTCGCAGGAGGAATCAATCAGGGCTTGAACACCACAGGTACGAGACGGAAAAAAGCCAAATGTGGAGAGTCAAGTTATTTGCAGCCTTCAATTTCATAAAGAAGGATGCAAGACAAACAGAAGCAGTTTTGCTTTTGTCAGAAGAAACAAAGGGAGACCAGAGGAAGTTGGGAAGAGAAGACAGTAACTGGAATGGGAACATTCCTGGTCCATCAGCAAACCCAGATCAGAATCAGAGATGCCTCCAGGAGCTGGTAAGAGAAATGGAAAATATTTTCCCAGAGTCACCTCCAAAGTTTCTGCTTATGGACTGCATGGAAATAAACCTCTCAAAGAACAGGGATGGCAGAAATCCTCAACTTCCATATCATAAAGTGCCTGTACCGCAAGGATGTGCAGCCATACGTCGTTGTACACATAAAGAACAGTTACTCACACTGCAACATTCCCCAAAATACCACATTTAGCAACCATTCTTGCAGAGCACAAAAGGATCTGTAATTACCAACTAGCAAGGCTTTTCTTAGTTTTAAGCTACCTCTGACAGAACAAAGTTTTGCCAGGCTGTTTCCAGCAGAGAGAAAGGGACCCAGCTGACTGCATTATCCCCCACAGCACAGGGCAAGATCCCAGGAGATTGCTCAAGACAGATGACTGGTGAGGGCTGAGAGACCTGGGAAACGATTGCCAATGCTCTACCTGTGTTTTCTCGGAGGAGAGCCTCATCGCTTCCATGAGCTTCTCCATCTGGTGGCCCTGCTCCAGCGCATTGCGCAGCACATCCTCCGTGCTGACAAGCCGGTGCTGCAGCCGGATCACTTCTGACTCTGATGAGGGGTCGATCAGGGAGTATCGCCGCTGATCCGTTACTGATTTTTCCTTGTCCTTACAGAGCAAAGGGAAAATAGGAGCATGTTAGATTAAAACGAGTAACTACAGAGACTAAGCAAAGTCGAAATCCACTGTAACTCGTACAAGTGTGTTTTGATTTCAACAGTAGATGGGGTCACAGCACAACCCTGAAGGCAATTTTATCAAGTGCGACCAGCAGCAGCTCCAGTTTGTTCCCAGCAGAGTTCAAATAAATTATTCACATTTCAACCACTGGAGGACACTGAAGTACACAGAAATCGGAAGACATTGCTTATTCCTAGATCAGAGATTGTATAAAACAATGTGGGGTAGCTGACCGACCTTCAGTTTCTCCCACAAATTTTAGCCCTATTTAGCCACGGATCTAAAAAACCCGTGGGAACAGCAAAACACTGGAGAAGGACATATGGACATTTTTGCTGCTTAATGAGGTGCCACTAAGCCAGGCCACAGCTCACAGGCGCCGTCAAGGAAGTTCCCATCAGATGCTCAGTAGCACAAAAGAAAGCATGAAGACTTGGAGCAAGGGTGAAGGGCTAGGACCCTCCCTGAGCAGCACAGAGCCCTCCAGCCCCCAGGCCAAGGCCAGGAGGGGTTTTGGTGCCCTCACCAGCACAACCAGTTTCTCTCGCAGACCCTTGATGTCATCTTTGAGCTTCTGTTCCTTCAGCCGCCACTCTGCTTTGTGCACTTCCCGGCTTAGGTCCCGCTCTGGCCCAGGCGAGTGCCGGTTCGCCTCCAGTAACAACACTCTCAGCTCGTTCAGACTCCTGGAAGAAGCGGCATGAAAAGGTGAAGACGTTCCAGAGCCCACACGCCACTGGAGTCCTGCTGCGCTCCCTCCCACCTTTGCTACGGACCCAAAGGAAGGCCAGCGAGCAAACCTGACCCAACTCCTACCGCTTCGGGGGCTTCAGATTTCCTGTCCTCCCCACTGTGCCAGCTTTAAAGAGACTGGGACCTGCACAAGGCACCGCATTTCAGAGCAGGGCAGCAGCCAGCTTAGCTGGCTTGTAGATGACTTCATTCGGCATCTACGTGGGTATTGAGCTGTCTTGCAGCTCCTGGCAAGCAGTGAAAGGGCAGTCCCTTTGATAATTCACAGCCCCTGATTTTAACCAAATTTGCACATGAGCATCTCTAAAGAACAGGAAAGCTGGGGACTGAACTTCAACAGTCCAACCTCTAGATTTCTTTTGGTGGTAAATTAAAGCACCCTGAACACACAGAGCTCCGTCTCCAGCTCCATCCGTCAGACCTGCAGACTGACCTTTCCTTCTTGAGTAGCTCCTGGCTAATCAGGACCAGTTGCCCTGAAGCATCGTGTGTTTTCTTGGTCAAGGCTTCCAGTTCACCTTCCAGCCTCTTCTTTTCTTTTAACAATGAATCAGCCTTCTTTTCTGCTGTTTTCCATTTATTTTCCAAAGCTACAAGAAGCAGAGGATACAGGGAGAAGAAAGGTCACTTAGTTCTTTACTCACATTCCTGCTTTTTGCCTTTTCCCAACTCCCACTCCTAGCAGCATAGACCTGGCTAGCTCTGGATCTGGCCCTATTTAAGGGCAGATCTCAGAAACAACACACCTGGCTCCATTTACGTCTGCCTCTTTCAGCTTTTGACATTCAATGAGCCCAAACCCTCCCTCACAGGATACAAATATCTTCTGCAGTGTTTGTGTTCAACTCCTGAAAAGAGACTGAAACTCCTGAACAAATTTTTACCAACAACATCCATTAGAAGACAGGCAGTTTTAACACCAGCCATTTCAGCACGTGGGCCCTTGTTCAACACCAGTACAGAGGACGAGCAAGGAAACGCCTAGTTCCCACCAGCACTGGATTAGGGAAACTTACCACTTACTTGGGCCCTTAGAGTTTCAGTTTGGGACACCAGTGATGACACCTCTTTGTCTCTTTTACTCAGCTTGTCTTGGAGGTCTGTGGGAGGATGAAAAGAAAAGACAAAGATTAGAAGCTTGGAAAATGCTTTGTGCAAATCAGGAAGGTATCGAATGTAAGGCATGGGTCGGGATGTGACAGGGGCGTGGTGGTGGTACCCTTCATCGGCAGAGAAGCAGCAGGAGACAAGTAATGGGTGTTTCTCACTGCACTCACCACCATCCAGGCATTAGGCAGTAGGATACACAGCTGGGAAGCCATATCAGACAGGTTTAAGAAAGCAACCACAAGGTGGGAAAAGAAAAAGGGAATAAAACATTAATCAAAATCACCAAAAGGAACTTTCTGCACATTTTTTTGTGTTACCTCCTACACTGGAAGGCAAAGACACGTTTTCTGGAACCGATGCATTTCCACACTCAAACAGAACTGTAGATTTGAAGTACGATGCTTTTGTGGCTCAAGTCTGAACTGGTTGGTTTTAGTACATCTATATATGGCTTATTCAGTGTGGAAACAACATGCACACAGACTGAGTGGCCATTTTAAGAGCAGTGGCTGCTGGACCTAGTTATGCTTTGCCTTCACTAGGCAGGAATTACCTGTCAATCATATAATTTGGTATAGCATATATGTAATCCTGTACCTGCAAAGACAGTGACGAGCTGACTGACAATGCTTAGCTAGCATTGAGGGCAGAACACCTCTGTCTGAATCCAGGAACAGCTGGAGGGACACTCAAACTAAACAAAGTGTCTGTTAAGTGAAGTTTAAGCCAGTAAAAGTCCCCAGTAACCTCCATTTAAGTTGCTCCATCCTGAGCAGGACTTTAACAAGGGCTTTGCAGAGAACAGACACCTTAGAGGTGAGTAATGGAGAAAAAGCTATGCTACCGTAAGCCAAATGCCATTTGAAAAGAAAAATGACAAGTTAGTCCTTTACAAATCACCTTTGTGATCTAGACTGATAACATTTTCTGCTACATAAAAACCAACCCTAAGGAAGAATGAAGAAATACGAGTCTCCTGGGAATGAGCAAGGGAAGACATGATCTGGAAGCACCTTACGTATCTTGGAACAGCCCTGAATCCTTCAGACACCCAAAAATGTATGTCATCCACAGCAATGTGGTAGGACATCGCTCCTAACAGGGACCATCTGGGCCATCCAGCATTAATCTTGCCAGGTCTGCTGTTGCTCAGACTAGGGGTTACAGCTTACCCTCTTTGTGAGGGAGGCTGAGCGCAATTCAGTTTCAAAGCTACTTTATAGAAATTTTCTGAGTGCATCAATTCTATGTTTTGTTAAAAGGATGGATTTGATTCATAGTAAGCTTAATAAAAAAAAGTAACCCCCATTATTTTAAGCCTGTCACATTAATATCTACCATTAGCAGTCCTCTCCTATGAACAAATTACATTTAATGTCTGGATTTTACCCACTGTAAAAATCAGTGATGGGATGGAAGTGCGCCCATTTCCCCAGACCTGTCTCCAGCCTGCACCATCTGCATGGTGAATGTCTAATGCAAATAAAAAACATCCACCCCTGCATATGCTCAGCCGGATTAGAAGGGGAAAAAAAAAAAAAAAAGGCAAACAACAAATGCCGTCCAGCAAAATCTGAGAGATGAAATGGCTTCCTAAGCCCCTTCCACACAGCCGTCCCTGCAAGAGCAGAAAGTTGGAGGAAGGGAAGGCACACGATTTGCTAGAACAGGGTGTTCCAAAAAAACCAATAAAATTTCATACCTTCCATAGTCTGCTTCATTTTTATCTTTTCTTCTGAAATATCATTAGTTTCAATCATCTGAAATAAATGTAAAATATGAGATGTGAAACAGCCCTTTACCCAAAGATTCAAAGCCAAGTTAACAACCACAAAGCCCCATCCAAAGCAGAAGTGTATCCAGTACCCAAGTTACAATTTTTTTACATCCTTCCTGAGAGGGAAAAAAAGGCTTTTGAGGAGTCACTTCTACAGCTGGGTACTACTGAAGGCTAACTGGTGCCATCTGAGAGTGCCCACACACACCAGGCAGCTACGCACAACAGCGAGATTCACCAGGGAGGGAAAAAGTGATCAGGCTTTCCCCACAAGCTCTGGTCCCAGCTTTCACAAGCTCAGAGTTTGTGCAGAGCGATGGAAGAGCTGCTCTCCGTTGGACCAGTCTCCTGTGGTTAATTATGGCAAATATTCAGGTGCAAATGCTCATTAGCATTCAGCTTGAGACCTATCAGACAACAATTTCCTCAACTTCTGAAGAATCTAACTGTGCCCAAAGTTATAAAAACAGTAATAAAACATTGATAAAATAATAATTATTAGAGAATGAATACATTAATAAAAATAATAAAAAGCAAATGCTAGTCCATATAGGGGATTCTGCCTTTTCCCCACCCTCTTTTGTCTCTACTGGAACGAAAAGCAGAGCTCACAGCCAGGCTTTCCATTGCAGAGGCCACAATGCCGCCCTTCAAGCCTTTTCACATCCAGCAGCCTTTGGTGGGACCTCAGCACATGCCCCAGATCAAGCAGTTGCTGTGGCCACCACCACTGAAAGGCCCAAGGTCAGTCCCCGAGAGCCTGAGTGGGCTGCGGGATACGTCTAGCAGAAGCAGGAGTACACCCAAAGGGGAAATACCTGATGTACTTTTGGTATGGAAAAACTATTTTAACTGCTCTTTGGAAGCGCAGTTGTGGGTCTCACTTGAAGGTCTAGGAAAGACGGTCACAGAACACATTTGTTTGTTTAAAATATTTGGGTAGTTAATACTGCAGTCACATTAAATTAGCTAAGACATTTAAAAATAGAATTTGCCCTGTGATACTCAAAGGCTTTCACCCATGCATTTCTTACCACGTTTTCCTGATTTTAATCAATACATAGTTAAAATAATTATTTTGAGACTCCCTGGTTCTAATCCAATATCAATATCCCCCAGAGCCCTCCACATTTATCTAAAGGGCTCTGGAACAAGCCTCCAGCTTCTTCTTTTACATTCATTCCTGTTTGAATATTGGCTGTAATATGTGACATGTTGTAATAACATCCACTTCTCGCAGGGCCCTGGCTGTACTTATTGTTCACAACTGTCTTTACTAGATGAAACATGTTGAGCAACCCTTGAAACATCATTAATGCTGTAGATTCCTCCTTGGGCTTTTGCCTTTCCTGTCCAGTCCAGTGTGCCTTTTTGCAGGCATGAAGCTCTGACTTGGTCAACAGTAATTCATGGGCTTCACTTTGCTGCCCAGAGGTGCAACGGATTTCAATGGGGCTGTTCACGTTGGCAAATTAAACATTGGCATTGTATTCACTTCATTGGCACCTCAGTCTGGAACAGTGACTACATTACCAGCAGTAGATTTCAAATGAGTATTCTTAAAACGTGCACATTTCATGGCTTATTTTAATTCACTGCATCCCCACAGGGACAAGTTGTAAGTTGGGTTTTTGCTCACTTCTCATGCAAAATCCAAACACAAATAGGGGTCCAGCCTAGAACCGTAAGTAGCAATCTCCCCCGCTCACTCTAGTGGAAAGCCAGCCACGTGTCCCTGTGCCATGCACAAAGGCAGGATGGCATCCTGTGGCAAATAGTAAAAAAAATGAGGATGACTTAAAAAGACACAAAGGCCACAGAAAATTGACCTCTTCATATTATTACTGCTTTTATTCCCTGGGAGGCTCAGGACTTGTATTCAATCAGGCATTTTACTTCCCCACCCTGGTGCCATCCTGACTCTTGCTAGCAGCTCTTCCACTATAATCCTCAAAGTCAACATTTTCCTGTGTCTCCCGTACATGCTGCGAAGCTTTCCCACTGCCTCTGCTGCATTGCTGGCACACACCTCCCACCCAACCCCATCAGCTCAGCCCCCAACAGAGGCTCTCAAACCATGATCCACATGCTGGACAAGCTACATGCTCTATCTCAGCATGGGCAATGACTCTTCTTCCACCCTGTCCTCCACCTACCCCTAAAGGGCCTTGCTCAATAATACACTAAGACTGCTGCAGTTCCTTGGAGGACAACAGCTGTATTGTAGAAATGATGCTTTTCCAGCTAATAATGCTGCTTGCTCAGGGTAAGAGCCCACCCTGACAAACCACGATAGCCCTATCTATACTGCTGCCACAGGACTCGTGTCTTCAAGCCCAGATGTGGCCCACTTCTCTTTGACTCTTATTTCTTCTAATTGTGCCACTGTACTGGCTTTCAAGAGCGGGAAGACACCTTCAGCATGGAAATGTAGTGCAGAAAAAGCACTAATCAATAGAAGGTAACAACATCCAGATACTTTGAGGCATAAAAGCCTCAGAAAACTGCACAAGGCAGCAGCTGAGGGCTACTCCTAGGAAGGGTTACTAACAGTGATGACAAACAAGCACAATGACCCGGAAGTCATACATTTGCATGCTGAGAAGGATGCAGGGCCTCCATGGACTGTAGCTTGTTCTCTAAGACAAGCACTTTTTCCTGCAATCTGTGGATCTCCTGTTTGCTCTGGGCTTCTGTTTTCTGTAATGTTTCATAGTCCAACATCTTCTTCTCAGCCAAAGAAATCTGCTCTTTCAAGAAAGCTATCGCTTGTGTCTGATCTTTATATTCATCATGAAGTTTCTCCAGTTCATGCACCCTCAGCTCAGCATCTCGACACTTGTCCTTCACATCTTGGAGCTCAAGAAGGTGCTGATTACTTTTGGTTTCCAGTTGCATTTTCCAGTTGCTGTTGCTTTTTTCCACTTCATCCACAGCCTCCTGCAACTTCAGTTTGAGACTCTCTTTCTCCTTTATATGAACAGCCGTCTCAATGTCATGCTTTGCCTTCAGGTTCTCCAGCTCAAGCTGGTGCTCCATCTTTATACTCTCCACCACTGCCTTCAGTTCCACAATCTCCTTATGCTGGGTGTCGGGGCCTGTGCTCAGTGTGGCTTTCAGGTCCTCCAGAGACTTCTGGTGGTCAGAAGCTAACGTGTCCAACTTGGACTTCCAGTTGTCCATGAGCCCCATGTTCTCATTAGTGGCTTGCTGAACTTTATGCTTTAGGTCAATGATTTCCTGTGAGTACTTCTCATTGACAGATTTCAGCTTCTCCATCTCCTGCTGGTACTTCTTTAATGTCTTCTCGTACTTCTCCTTTAGCTGGCTGCTCTCCTTCTGATGCTCCTTGTTGGCAGACAGCAGTTGATCGCGTAGACGAAGAGCCTCTGACTGCAAGCCAAGGTTATGCTCAGGGGTCTCTGCTTGGTGAGAGCTCCTGAGGCACTGCCGAAGCTCATCCACCTCGCTGCGCCTCAGGCTCAACTCCTCCTCCAGCTGCAGGATTCTGGACTTCTCTGCTACCGTGGTTAACTGCAACACAACAGAAGACAAAGTCAGTCCCCACCTCTCATCGCTGCATCCTTCCTTTTAGTAAGTGTGCTCCAGTGGAAGTAAATCCAAAGTACATTAGTCAAAGTTCAAATAAACAGGAAAAGAATACCCAGCACCCTCCAATCCGAGTACAGTTTTGCACCAGGGTAACCATCACCAATAACTCTAACAGTTATGTCTTTGTGCCAATTGCAATTTGTTTTTTCTAATATGAACCTTTCGTTTTCCACAGAAAAACATGCATCTTTGAAACAACCCTTAAATTCGCTAGAGAGCAACAGTGATTTATGAAAAATAATGTCCTGAAAGGGCATTATATTTCCAGACTAGGCATCTTGCCAGACGATGCGCAGAGGAAATGTGACTGCACGTGCAGGAATATCACAAGCATTGAAACCAGCGTCAAGCATATCATGTTTCCTTTATTGCTCAGCAATCCTCAGCCTACAGACCTCTCTTCCGCATCGTAATTTGTTTACCCTGGTGTAAAAAGGAAAAGGGATTTTTACACGAGTACTTGTTAGAGTTTATTAGCAAAGTAAAAATAACATAGAAGGCTAGAGGATGCAAGGCAATAAATCTGACTATGGTTAACATTGAGCATAAGGGCTATGGATCAATGTATTACGATCTGAATGTAACCTAACAGGGCTGAACTACCTGCTAGTCACAGGGAGTTCAGGGTGCTGCAGCTATGGATGGAGAAGAGATTTGACTAGATGAAATATTAGAAAAAGGCAGAAGAAACAAGGAAACCAAGCCAAAACACAAGCAATCAATTCCATATCATTTCAATTGCCATTATCCCCACTAACGATCAGCCCAGGAGGCTGGGTGGTTTTATTTTAGAAGGGCACAGGGGTTTTCAAACCAGTTAAGCCCTTTTGGAGAACCTCACGTTTGTGTTTTCTACAGCTCTAAAATCCATTGGTGAGAAGGAAGCTCACTGTAGCAAGTTTGCCACTTCTCACACCACACCAGCATGAAAAAGCCCTTTCCACATCTGGCTGCTTTTAGGATCGTGTGCGCTGTTCATCTGGGCAGCCTGTCCTGTTGCAGGCAGGGCCAAGGATCAGAGCTGGTCCACCTGCACTCACCAGTATCTTCCATTTCACATGGCAGCTCCCACAACTGGAGGGGGGACAAAGGGAATGCTGATTGCAATGTTATTTCCTATTACAGCCTGGGGGACCCTCAAGGCGGAATGAATTGTGCAGGGTGCGGATATTATTTGGGCATGTTAACTGAAAGATGAATTGTGAAGAGCTCGTGTCAAATGGTGGCATGGGGCAGAGAAGCAAACTCAATTTGAGAAACAAGTCCCCACACGAGAAGCAAAGCTAGAAATTATACCATACTACTATTTCCAGGAGAGAGAGCAAATAAAAACCAAACAAAAAATCAGGGAAGTCTAAATTCAAGCCAAAACCAATCAACCCCACAAAAACCAAAAGAAAGAAACCCAAAGCAAGGCGTCATGAGCATCAACGCAGGGGGCAAGCGCGCTGTTCTGCAGGCAGGGCAAGTGGGGGTCGATTACCCTGGTGTCCTCTAATTCTCTGAGGAGTTTTTCAGCCTGTGCCTTCTCAAACAGCAGGCTCTGCTCGAGCTCCCGTATTCGGGCATGCTCCAACTGCGTCTGAGTCTGGTCACACATAGGGAAAAAAGAACAGTGGAGATGGGAAAAGGGGAAGGGAGAGAGAGAGAGAAAGAGAGGGAAAGAGAAGGCTGCAACATCATCTTCAGTGTACAAGACAAGGAAAGGCAGTTCACAACAGGAGGAGAATAAAGATCCAAACAAGCAAGAAAAATTCCAACCAAACAGAAAATGGTCACTACGGGATTTTACATGGTACTCGTAGTGGCTATTCAGAAGAAAATGGAATCTGTGATGGGAAAAACATCCCTCTGCATTAGAAAGCTGCTTCAGCGTTTTCCTGCATCAAGACTATACTGAAGACACTTCCTAAAAAGCAAAGCTCCCACCACTGCAGACCACCAGTACAAGACCCTTGCACCACATACGAGAATGCAAAGACCTTGCAATGATTCTCTGCATCTCTCCTCAAGAAGAAGCACAAGGTAGACTGAAAAGAGTTGGAAGTTCCCATCCTCTTTTTGCTCCGAAGACAGCTTGAACCCTGCACTAAGTGGAAAAAAAAGCAGGTCATACTGCACATAGCACATTGCTGAAACCAAAAATACACTGCACTGAAAGCAAATCGGAGAAATTTAGATACCAAACTGTTATATAAATCAGTGCTTTAGGTTTGAATAGGGCTGCTATGAATTTCAAAGTAATTTTTGCACACTAAAACTCTAATAGCCTTGTACACAAGAAAACAGAACTATTTTTTTGTTTTGTTTTTGGTTTTTTTTTTTTTTAGACAGATGATTAAACTAAGCACAAGAAGTTTATGTAACCTGCCCAAATCCAGGAGCATTGACTCAGGGCATTGCTTCAGTGCCCTTCACTTTTAAAGCAGAAGTACCATACAGCTGCACTTGGTGGCAAACCTCAGGACTCCACAACAACCACTGTAATATCATGTAAAATTTCCCATAAATAAAAGAGGAGAGGAGACATGGGAAAATGCATGCAGACTCTGGCCTTCACATTTTTTTAGCTTACAAAACCAACATTTTCCTTTGAATTAAACTGGACCTACCAAAAACCAAACAAACCTGATCAGAACCTTTTTTTTTTTTACTCCCATTTTCTGCCCTTCATTTTCCATATAATTATTTGCTTCCCCCTCTTTCTATTGGAAGCAGTTTTAAGGATTTTCTGCCCTTTCCTACAATAAAGCAAGTTTTGATTAGTTGCGTACAAACAATGGAAACCGAAGTTTGTAAAAATCCATGTTTTCTCTTATGGCTTGAAAGGTATCATTGTACATGTATTCATAGATGGTCAAGATCACAGCTGCCAGATATATTCAGACTACTCCATATTTTATGTAGTCTATTTGACCCCTGAACAAGGCAAAAAAAAAAAAAATATGTGGGCCTCAAGAACCCAAACATTATCAAAACCCCCAAATAATATCACTTAAGTGCAAAAGTTGGCTGAATGCATCTTAATAAGAAAAACTTAATTTTTTACTGAGTGACTTCTCCCGCTCTCTGCAAAGCTCAAAGATCCACATCCCAAGATGGAGCTCCAGGTTTGATTTTATTTACAGGGATAATTATTCCATCGATACCAATGAATTTTCCTCAATTTACACTAGCTCAAAATCCCCAAGTGAAACTTCAGTAACACAAACTTTTGAAATTACCTTAACTGGTGGCAGCACATCAGATATTGGCTACCTGGAGATGCTGACCTATTACAAAACTAATCTCTGAATCTCCCAAAGAGACTCTCTCAAGACTCCTGAGGTTGACACTCAAGTTCCCAGCCAAGCTATCTCAGTTCCACCTGATACTCTTGCTCAGTATCCACCAATCCTGCTATTTTCCAAGTCTGGAAAAACACATGAAAATAGAGGAGAAAAATAATCAGGGAAGAAAGTTAATCAACTGTTTTACAGTCCTTAAATTTTAGATTCGCATCCAGTCCTGTGTTATTTCTCATTTTATGCAAATTGGTTTGGCTAGCCAGTATGACTCAGAGCCTCAAATCCAAAGTTTTCCTGCACTTCCTTGAGGAAGTTCAGATCTGAATTTTAGACTCACTTCTAGCTATTAGCCTTAAATTACTATTCACAAATTACAAACTGACTTCCCATTGGTGTTCAAGGCATGATGCAGGTTCCAGGAGATGAGCATGAGATAGTTCCTCGAAGAGGTTAATATTTCCTATAAAACATGGTCTTGCCACCATAAAAAGCTTTTCTTAAAAGGTTTTGTTTTCCTGCAATTGCTTTTCACCTTCTAAAGTACTGTAGCATCGGCACTGCCAACCAGGATCAAAAATGGGTTGAATTCATAACTACATTTCAAGGCTAAATCTGCAGGTCCTTCTTTATCAGAGGTACAAAAACTTGATATATATTTCCAGGCTTCAGACACATTGATTTCTTTGGTCAAAGAGCTTCTAGGGATGTTGCCTGCTGTGCTCAACACCTGAGAGTCCTGGATTGTTCAAAACCTACATGGTATTGTGAAAAATACCATGGGATTTAACCTAGCCTTCAGCAGAAACCCTAGATCCAGGGACCACAGAGGAGATAATCTCTTCTTACCATTGTGTCTGTTACCGGCTCTTAAGTACAAGATAAACATTCTCCTCTGAGTACTCGGAAGAGGGCTGCTGGCATAAGAGGACTACAAGACCAGAGGAGAGGAGACAACTGTCACTGGGTTTTGCTTTTGGTATTTGGGTGGTTAGTTCAGCTCTAGCTAGGGATGCGAGGGGCTGTGCTAGCAGCCACTGGTTGACTTTGTTGTGATTTTACATGAAGAATATCACGAACAATCACTTCCCAGGAAACAGACCACAACATGAAGGAGCACTTATCCCCCCCTTGATTTCCAATATGAAATTTCAGTTAATTACTTGCTGCTGGAAATCCTAACTGTCTCCACAATAAAGCAGGAAGGTGAGAATTAACTCCAGTGTGTCAATCATTCAGTCTGAGCATCCAAATTAGACAGGAGAGGATGTAAAAACTGACCACAGCCAAGCCCTCTGTCAATGCCTGTGCTGTCGCTGGTGTTGGACTCACAAGGGACATCCCAGTTCTCTGGATCGCAGGAAACCAAGCTGCTCCATGACTCTTTCCTAAGAAGTTATTTGTTCTTCAGTACAGACAAACATGGAAGTGAGGACAGGACTCTGGCAGCCTGCAAGAAGCTTGGCCACATCCTCATTGCAAAGCAACTCCTTCCCAGCCCAAATGAAAATCAGATCTATCCTCAGTTTGGGACCTGCAGTCATAGGAGCACTTATGTCACAGCAGCGTACCATCTTGCTAAAATGTGGTGGCTTTTTTTTTTAAATATATCTAAAGATACCTGCTAGCTAGCCCATTACCATTATTACACAGCCAGGTTTAAACACTTAAAGCTTACACAGGGGCAATTTGCTGCTCTCAAAAGGAATGATGGATGGATCAACCACCCTTCTCTAAAGCACTGGGGGAAACCTGTCACATAAGCTCAGGAATCAATAGAAACCTGATTTTGCACCCACACACTATGCAGAAACTGCACTTGCTGTCCTTTAGCAAAGGTCTGCTATCAGCGCATTGCTGATTTATACCGTCAAATGCATTACTCTGCTTCAGCTTCCGGATAAAGAGGAGAGGTTTATGCCAAGAGGGTCAAAGCCATAGCAACATACTCATCACCTAGTTTTCTCGTTCTCCAGGGCTTTTATTGATATTACTGACAGCGAAGCACAGGAGCAGGTCCCTTGACACTTCTGGCTGTTACTAACCTAGCACTATAGCTAAAGATAAGGGAAAGTCCCTTGATTTCCACGTGTAGAGCAGAGCCTTGCTTTCACAGAAATATTTTCATTTCCTTTTTTTCCCCACAGAAAAGCCTCCCACTCAAGGGCAAGCTCCCAACACCACTTCCAGTTTGCACAACGCTCACTGCAACAGCACCGCTCTGAGCAACAGCCCTTCCAAATGAAAGGGTATCCTAGTGTCAAACCCCACACTCGTAGGCAGAGGACTCCACACGAGGACACTGCAGGTCGAATGATACACAGCATTTTGGCTGGAATAGAGTAGCATCTGACTGGGAGATTGTGTGTGCCCATTAGCTGCTAATAGCAGGACACTGCAGGGACAGTGACTGAACAGTCAATTCATTTCTACAGTGGAAAAACATATGTTGAAATGCATTCAGATACAGTCAGATTTTAACATGGCTTGGCAACTCATGGTGACATTTAAAGCCAGGCTGGCTGCATGTGATTAATTCTAGGCAGCTCCTAGCATTATTAGTCATTGGGCAACATACCAAAGAACAATATTCACAGTTTATACCACAGTGTTCGCAGCAGGTCCAAAGCCATCAATAAAGATTAAGTATTGTTTAGAGTTGAGCAAAAGGTGGCAGAAATTACTCAAGTGAGGCCCCACATGCAATTGTTAAGGGTGTTAGGAATTACCTCCAGATCCCCCTTCGTAATGGATTCTTCCTCCACACGGAACTGCAAGTCCTCCACTTTCCTGGGGAGGGGAAAAGACACAAAGAGCAATCGGTAACACCCAGATCAGCATCCCATTTCTAAGCAGCCATTGCACATGGGCCTCCTCTGCACAACCAAAGCCTGAGAGGAGACAGATACAGACAATCTTTGTATACAAACAGCTCAGCGGAAGCTAAACAGCAAGACCCATGGAGCAAGACAGTTAATAAGCAAGCTTTACACAGAGCAAACATTTACCTCCTTGCAAGATACACACTCACAGACATGCTGTTTCTGTTGTACCACCCCTCAGCAAGCACAACTACTGTTCACTGACACTGGGATCCTGAAAACATGAAAACCACAACCAGGTTTCACTGGTTTACTTAGACCTTGTTATCCTGTAGCCAAGCACTGGGCAATTCCTGTACCAAACACGCAGGTTCCATACAAAATATTCCAAGGGAACCAGAGCGTCTGCCTCCTTGGCAGACGGTGTGCAATGCTTAATGTTTCCACAACATGGAAACGGTGCGCTGCCCTGGCAGAAAAGCCTTCACCAGAGATTGTATAGGCCAGTCATGCATAGATGCACATAAAACCACATGCACAAACACAGACATGCCTAGGACTCTTATACAAAGTCTGAAGAGAAAATCCAGTAACAATACAAAATAATTCAATTTTCTGCTAAACTCAGTCCTCTTTGTTCTCTTTACTGATTTAAAAAAAAAAAGACAATAATGAGGATGTTGAGCTGGTAGCCAGATGTAAAGCCTCTGATTCTGTTACAGATAAAAATAGCCATGAGTGTATGTATCTAACTTCATAAACAAGCTTCCTTGTCTAAACCTCCTCTAATTAGAGGAAGCATCTGTTGATATTTAGGAAAGAACTTGGCTGTCTTGGGTTAAAGGGCCTCCTGGAGCTGGGAAAGTGAGCTGCCTACCAGGACAACGGGGAGACTTGTGCACGAAAGAACAATTTGTCCTCAGGAGGGGCATAATTCAATTGAAATCAATGCTGTTTTCAGTTATTTAATACATAGAAATGTCTTTCTATTCCCACTGAAGAGTTTAATTATATAGATGAAGCAACTGGACTCCAAGAATGACAAGCAGATCTTCACTCTTACCCAGAGAGGAAATGTATGTATCATCATATATACATGGATGGGGCCTCTGGGATGTGGGGAGGTGATGAATCACACTAAAGTAAGGCTGTACTCCAGTTTAACTTCCCTTCCTCAGAAGGAATGACCTGAAGATCAGCACATCACAAATAGAGGGGAAAGAAGTGGTCTTTAGCAAAGCCAGGTTGTACAGAAAGGTTAGGGGTCTGGGATGGCCCAACCTTCACAGTTCTGTTTATTATCCAGACTGTACTGTATCCTATATAAGGATATACTGTATCCTTAGCCAAGAGCATCTGAAGGCAAGGCTTTGTCACTATCCACACTCTTGCCATCAGTTAATCCCACCTTTACTGAGTAACTCCATTTTACACAGTGACACGGCTGAGTTTGGTCACGGTATCAAATCTCAGAGCAACTGATATTACTGGTGCCCTTCATTCCTTCAGGCAAATAATGCTGCTTGTCCGTGCTTTGTGTCAGGAACCGAACAACAAGGAAGAGGGCTGAAAACCCTCAATAACATCCCCGCCCAGAAGGACACCAAGACTATTTGGCCTTCTACTGGCAGTGGTAGATCAACTGTTTGCCACCGTTGTATTGTCATTGCAACATTTGCCATGGTCAAGTGCTCTTGGACATGCAAGCAGCCTGTCAAATACTTATCAGGGTCATGACAGAAGTGCCAGCAGGAATGGAAGCTGATGGTGTCTTTTTTTCTTAAGAAGTGCTACACGCATTTGGCAAGAAACAGTGTCAAATCATGAAACTCCTTTTGGCAACAAAACAGAGGTGCCCCTATCCTGAGTACGAGCTGCCCTGGCTGGCTGTTTGTCTTCCGCCTCTCAATTGCATTGCAACAGCAGGGCAGGTTCAGCTGAGCATATTCAAAAAACCTGAGACTGCTCACGTCACATCAATTACCGCATTGCAACCCCACCGAACAATATAGCATTGAGTCTCCTCTAAGAGCCATAAGACATAGGAACGTACAAGACTAATTGGAAATACTTCACTGTTCAGTTGTGATTAGCAGCAGTTTGTCAGCAAACGGGGGCAGTCACAGTGCTGGATGCCCAACCCTACACAAGAGTCACATCAGATGTGCAACTGCAGCAAAACTGTTCTAAACTTCCCACTACCTGAAGCAGCACACCCCTTCCCTACATGCAGGCACACCACTGTGGCCAGGAGAGTGAAATACAGCATATCTGAGGTACTGGAAGACATCCAAAGATTACTTTCCCGGCCACTTTCTTCACCTTAGGTCCAATGAACAATGTTCTTTGGTAAGATCCTCATCTCCCCCATGACTTCTCCTCCACACCCAACCACTCCTGCTTTACCTCTTCTCCTCTTCCAGCTGGTTCAGCAGCTCAATCTTCTCCTTCTGCATCCCATCTACCAGAGCTCGTGCTCGTTGGAGGTTTCCTTCTGCCTCCGTGACGTACTGCAGCAAAAAAAGAGCCCGAGCCACAAAAGTTAACAATGTTTGAAGTACAGAGTTTAAAAAAGGATCAAAACAAGGGAACAGAAGTCTTTGATGATCTGTTTCAGAGGATGCTATGGTGAGAAGGTAGATTTTCTAAAGACCCCAGTATGTAGGCATCAAAAAGAAAAAAATTGCTCAATCTCCAGCAGCTGTAAATTTGATCCATGCTTCACTGCCTCTCTGACTTGAACCCTTTGGAGAACCCAGCTCTGATTAAGAGTTAAGAACTCGAAGCCTGAACAGTTTTGAAAATCTGGTCTGAGGTTACCAGGCGCAATTCAGCCCTGGTCAAGAAGCATGAGACAGTTCAGACTTGTGTTAATTCGTTACTGGTAATGACTGGAAAATACTATACACAAGGAAGAGGGCAGCTTCCAATTGATTTGCCAATTTTTCCTGCATTTCTGACAGGCAGGTGTGGCCCACCACACAAAGGCATGCAGTGCTAACCCTGCTCCCTAGTAGCTGACTGGGGTTTATCAACACGAGCAAAGAATTTAGGACAACAGCAGTCATGAAGAGCCACACATTGACGAATAGCACAAACACAACTCCTCTCTTTAAGCATTCAAGTGCATAAAATATCATTTGTACAAATGCTTGTGCAAAAAAAAAAAACCTACTATGATCACCCCGTTTTCCTTACAGATCTCTTGACTTAATGGGATAAAAACATCCTCTGGCAGGAAAGCAGTGACATATGAACTGAGCTGATGTTCTCAGCAGCGTCCGATAGCATCAAAAAACCACTGCAATGCAGTCTCAGCCAAAGCCAGATTGGGTGACTAAGGGGAACAAGTTTGCCCTCCACTCGCATTTCAGCATTCAAATGTATTGATCCCCCAGACACAAACTATCTACTGTCTTTTTTCTGGCACAGCCCTTTTTCTGCTCCTGGCTTGGGGCAGAGAGAGCACACGTGACACTGGCAGGATTGGAGAAAGAGCCTCACCTTAACCCACCATGCAGGAAGCTGTATCCACATAAGAGGCAGAAATTCAGAGCCCAGGTTTCACATCAGGAAGCTACAGAGGGGTAATGTTACGATCTGAAACTTTCAGAGGATGCCAGATATTTGAGCGCTGGTAATAAAGCCACATCACCTCCTACCTGCTCATGCTGGGCCTTCATGATGGCAATTTCTTTCTCCACCTCACAGATGTGGCTGGTGGCTTTGGCAACCTCAGCCCGCTCCAGGTCACGCTCTGCCAGTAGCTGTTCGATGTGCTGCTGCTTCTCCTTCAGTGCCTCCTGGAGAGCTGTGGTGCCAGAGATTTTTCGGGCATATCGAGAAGAGGTCTCTGTCAGCTGGAAGAAGAGTTAAAAAGAGGCAGGGGTAAAGCTATGTCCTTCTCAGTCTAGAATAGCTTAAAGTCCCCTGTTAAATCTGGAATGCAGCCACCTACTGATCATTTATTAGGCTGTACAGAGCTGCAGTTCCAGTTCTGGACCCTACAGTGGAGTTAACAAGTCTGCAAGACACCTGAACACTGCTCACAAGCTCAATAGTTCTTCTACACTGCAATGAAAGGACCATTTCCCAAAGGACAGGACACAGGGTGGGAACTGGGTCAGGAAAGATTATCATGTGTTGTATCATCTGCCGCCTTAAATGTATTTTATTGATGATCTGCACTGGTACAGTCCCAAACAGTGAACTCAGCTGGGAGGACTGATCTCAACTGAAGACTGGTATGGGTTACTTGGATCCACTCCCAGTAACGGATACTGCACCCTCGTCCCCAGCCAAGATGCAGCACACACTACGGCAGAGTCAGAGGTTTTAACAATATTGCTGCCTGCTCTGGTGTCTGCCTTCTTGAGTACCTGCCAAAGCATAAGGCATGTAATTCAGGACAGTGTCAGCCCTCCACAGCAGAACGCAGTCATTGTAGAAGCTTTTGGATAGCTGTTCAATACAGCAGCGCACTGCTACATGACCACACGGGACAAGAAGCAATGCCATTTTTCTGCATGGATCCCATATAAAACCTGCTCTTGACAGTGGAGCTGAGATTCGTCCCATTGCAAGTAGCAGTTCAGGCTCTTTAATGCTCACAATTGCTCCGTGTCTGTTATGACTCTCGTGTCCATGGAGGGAATCCTATTTGTAAGCTGGTTAACAGCATCCCACACTCCACTCCCCTCATCTCACTGATGGTGAAGGAGCAGCTGCCCCAGTGCATCTGCTGAAACAAAACCCCAACCCTCCCACTTTGTAGAGCTGGGTCACAGAAGTAGATCAAGGCTGCACAGTCTGTAGAAAGAGTCACTTACCAGCCCGCTGCGGCTTGGCCTGCCCCCAACAGACGATGCCACTGAGCTGACGGAGCTGATGGAGGAGCTGCTGGGGCTGTGGGTTAAGGCAGACACTCCCATGGCCATTCGTTTGCTCTTCTTTGCCTTGGCAGGGCTGGTTGATGGGAACCCGATCCGGATCACCTTGTGGATGGGAGCAAAGAGGCCAAATTTGGGAGGACACTGAAAATACCTGTAATACAGGAGATGCACCAAGTCAGAAGCAGTAGAGCATCCATCTCACCCAAGCCTCTCAGAATGGCACTGCTAAGCAATACGCAACCGTGGCCCTCAGCTCATCTCTTGGTGCTTTGCTGTGATGTTGTTTCCTGTATGCAAGCAGTTGGATTATTCTCCTTTCCTGCCACTTAGAGTAGTAGCAATCTTCATGTTTTCACTTGCGGTGCTTACACAGGGAAACCCAATTGCCACACTATTGCACTTCGATGAGAAGCCAGGAAAGACCCATCTGGTAGCCTGGATAGCACAAAGATCCCAGTTCATAAACACAGAGAAAGCACATGCACTCCTTCCCTATAAACCAACCTTCCCAAAACCTGCATGTGTTCTCTACCCTGCTTTGCAAGAAAGTCATGTAGTAAAGCATGTCAAATAAAAAGATCTGAATCACACAGCTCTGTGTAAGTGTTCTATAGGGTAAAAATCTTTCCTCCCAAAACAAACGGGGAAACGGCAGCTTCTAACTTTGATGCTAAAAATACCATTAGAGCAAACTCCAGTGTGTGCCATTTCCTCTGGGTGGCACAGAAAGAGAACCTGGTTCCCATGCAAACAAACTTAGAAACAAGCATAAAAAAGGGAGGATCAGATACTTACAGTGCAAGCTCTCTTCCACAATTGCAGTGAGGCCGATGATTATGTCTCTCTGGAGCCCTCTTTCAGAATACAAATGAGCCAAAACCCACAGTGTCAAACATTGGAAACCCCTTCAGAACTTGGGCTGACCAGCTCAAGCCAGGGTTTATCTGTTGCTGGCCAGCTGCACTGCAGCAAGTAAAACCAAATCACCTCCAGGCGTTGCATCCCCTTGTTTCAAGGGAGTAGCCAACACAGAAAACTGTCTCCTTTAAGAGTTCTTTCTCACAGGCTTTGTAGCAAGGCTAGGACTAACTACTGGGCCATACAATAGTCTGTCCTATGTTAACATAAAAAACAGGTCCTAATGAATAAATAACAGAAATGCAACTTTGCTAGCACAAGTCCCCTCTCTCCAGATGTGAGCAGCTGCTTCCCCAATATCCTTTTATTTTTACGTGCTGGCAGCCACACGGCTGTGTCACAGGCAGACCTCTGTGTACTTGGGAGGCCAGAGAACAGCCTGATCTCCAGCCAGCTGAGAAAGTGATTCATTTTCAAACATCTGCTCAAGCCTAATTTTTTTCTGTAACAATCTTTAAAAAATAAACCCTCTACAACCCAAAATCACTTAGTCCCCTCCGCTTGCTGCCAACACAGGCCCTTGGGTTTGGAAAACCAGCCATACCGCAGGCTGACCTTGCTGCAGATCAGGGACTCAAGGAAGAAAATCAGTCTGACCTCTTGCAAACCCGCCAAAGCCCTGCTCAGCATCATATTCTCAAACTGCCATAGGCACAGGCGGACCAACAGCATGGCACAGCCCCTTCCACTGGTCTAAGCATAGACTGGTACTTGTGGCTCTGCAACAATGCCAAAGGCTAAGTCACTCCAAAGCCCCCTGACAGCTCTTTGCAAGTCCAAACTTGCACCACTATGTCTGCTCATTTTCTTTTAGTCCAGACTGGAAGTGGTTGCAATTAACTTTTATAGTTCAGAAGCAGCAACTGGGTCCAGAACACTTGGCAGAAAAAAAAAAAAATCTGCTTGCAATCCAAAAGCTGCTCTCACTGAGTGCTAAGGAGCTCTATACTCACATTACAGAAAAGGAAGAGGGAAGAAAAATGGTGTTGTGATGGCAATGCAAACTGCAGGTGGGAAACAGCACAGGAAATTTTGAAATAGATAAAAAAACCACCTCAGTGTCCAAGGCTGACATGTTTCAGACTATGCAAAAGCAAAAGTATGAGCAGTTTAGTGGGCATAGAGGCAGAGAAGGAAGAACAGTAAAATAAGCAGGTAAAGGTTAATATACTAGAGACAAGTACGTAGAACTCGCTTGGCTTTGTGGATAAGAAACCAAAAAAACCACACCAGCACTTCTCAAGTCTCCTGTGCAGACAGGAAAGCAGATGCAGCAAACCTCAGTGTCTCAGCAGCACCCATCTGATGTACGGAGCGGGGCTCACCACAGTGATATCCTATCCTCTCGGGCACTGCTACTGAACAACAACCTGCAGGCAGCCTCCACTGGAGAGCCAAAAGCTGCTCGGGAAACCCTGGCCTTTCAACCCTCCCTTGATGCACATCCAGACCTGGAGCCCCTTCCTGAACCTGCAGGAAAATCTGAGTGACCCTCCCCAAATTTCAGCCAACTCACCACTGACTCAACTGGAGTTGCCCATGGCAGCAAAGACGGTGACAATGTCCTTTGCTCGCTTGTTTGCCCACATGTTGCCTGTCCTACTTCCACCAGCCTCCACTGTCTCAGAGTCAGCTCTTTGGACTCAACTCTCCTTTTGTGGCAGAGTGCTACTGCGGCAGCAAGTGCTGGTCTTGGGCAGCCAGGCCACGGATGCTCACTAGATGGCAATAACTACCAAAGCAGAGAGACTCCAGAGTCCTGGACAGGACCGATTCTGCCAGGACAAGCTCAGGGCAGTATCAGGAATCCCATGTGGCCATGGCAAACATGGGGAAGACTGTCTGAGGGGTGCCTCCATGCACCAAGGGAGTCATTTTTACTATGTTGGCTTCTCCTCCAAAACACTGCTGTTGAAATCGGCACATGCTATAAGAAAATCAGAAGGTTGGATGAAGGCTCAAAGGACAAACAGGCACAATGCTGCAAACCTGCAGCCAGATCCTTGGTGGACAGAGCGCCCTTCAGCTGGAAAGTCCACGTGTACCACCGCTGTATAGGCTAGTATCCATTATTGCTAGAAGATCTGCAAAATCAGCCTGGACGCAAGAGGCAGGGATGCCTTACAGACTTCCCTCAATCTCCCCTGTTCAATCCAAACCTCTTAATTCACTCTTGCTCCCCAACCCCTGCTGTGGAGCTCATTTGTTCCTGCTTTTGATAAAGTGTGAAACAAAGGAGAAGCCTTGCAGACAGGGCACATACCCTAACAACCTCAGCTAAGATGTAGCAGTTTCAGAAGATAGATGACTTTCAAAAGTTGCATTTTCAAAACACAGCAACAGAGTTGTGAGGACGAGAGACAGAGAGGGCACCCTTACACTCACATCTGCCTTCCACACCTTCCACGTGCACAGAGACAACAAATCATTTCTGAGCATCCTGAAGATAAAGCTTAGAGATAATTTGTGGTGTATGATAAAGAAAGCAGAGACTTGGATTCACTCTGTGACTTATTCTCTACCATTCCAGTTCCTTTCTTTTGAGAATAGGCTGGAACACAGCTACCTGCTGCCAATCATTTACTGCTTTCTTGTCCTGACATCAAACAAGGCAGTGTTTCTCTTATTTTAAATGAAAACACATGGCTGCTAGACAAAATTAGGCTGACCCAACAAAAGAAACCTTTATTACAGAATCTGACATCTAACAAGGGAGGAACTCTCAGCTCCTCAGTTTCAAAGTTAAATCTCACCTCTGACACAAGATTCCCTTAAGAACCTCCAAGAAATCAACAGTATTTCCCACTAAAAGAACTTGTGAAGGACAAGGAGTCAGTTCCACCTGTATTTGAAGCAGGGTCAAAGTGCTGCTGTATAACTCAAATTTGAACATCCCCAAGCTCAAGATCTGAGGCTGGGGGCCCTTCCCTTACCTAACTTCCACATGAACAGAAACAGCTTGCCTGCAAGACATCCCTGCCTAGTTTTATAGATACTAATGAGGGCTTTTTTTGAAAGAAAAAAAAAAATAGCGGAGGTGACTACGGAGTCAGAGGTAGTAAGATCAATCAGCAGACAACTGTCACACTACAGAATTAGTACAAGGACAGACAACGACCACCAATTGTTCTTTCGGATCTCTGGAAATTTGTCCCCAGAAAGAACAGAACAAATAAAATTAAGCTGAGGAAAAAATTGAGTCAAATCTTTATCTTCTATAGTTCTGACAGGGTGAATTATAGATATAGCGCAAGAAGAAAGTTTATGAAGGGAACGTGCGGTAGAAAGCAAAAGCTAATAAAATCACAGAATCAATTTCTTGCAAAAACTAAATCCCACTATAAGTTATCTTCTCTCCCTACTCTCTCCTGTTTCTTGAAGGCCCTCAGGTTACTTCTTCACAGATGTTATCTGATCCTGCTTTAAAATGCTCCAGTGATGAGGTTTCTATTGATCTCCCTACAAAGCTATCCCAAAACCTAAAAGACTCAAAACTGGACTCTTCCTCCCAACCCACAATGTCCAGACAAACACAGCCCTAACTCTTCCTCCCAGGTCCAAATGGCATTTGGCCCCCAGCCACCTTAGGAGGTGTGTAGGACCCTACATGCCCCAGGGCTGGGTTTGAGAACACACAGTACCTTGTACCAGCGACCGCCCCATCGTTCTTCCCCAGGGGTTCATCCAGCTCCACACCACACCACTCTCCTTTGGCAAAATCCGTCTCTCCCACGTAGCGCACAACTCCTGTCTTTGTCCCACCAACCTGTTGGAGATAAGATGCAGAGGGTTAGAGACAGTAGCACTGGCGCTGCAACCAGAGGACTGAAGCTGGAACAGTTATGGGGGCAGGCGGGGGGAAGATATGAGTATTTTCTGTTTCAGATCTAATGAAACCAGAACAGATAGTTTTCGTACCAAGTTCTCCTAGCACTAAAGGTGTCTCTCCAATACCTACAAGTGAGTTGACTTTTGGACCTGGCTGCCTGGAAAATGTCAGAACAAATATAACGAAAACATATTTCAAGGTGTTGACTAATTGCACAAGGTTACTTGTGAGGCCATGAAGGAGTTTAAGCCCTCTAAGCACACTTATACCTACCTTCCATAAAGAATCAAGATCTGCACTAACAGGGTTTTAGTACTGTGCAGTTTCAGCTGGCAGTTCTCAGCAATACTGGGACAGGACATCAAAAGGACAAGCTGAGCCAGGAAGGCACTCATCACTCTTCAGCTTGTCCCCACGCAGGGTTTGCTTGGACATAGCAAACAGCCCTCCCAGCAAATCTCTCAAAATAGAGGTGTTTTGTACAGGAAAAAAACCTCCGCTTTTATCTACACATCCTACATCAATTCACAGCACTAGCGTGGTGCATGGGAAAGGGTCTCATCTTACTGCTAGGCTTCCACTAGCACAGATTTTTTCCCTCCACAGAGAAATAAGAATAAATCACACCATTTGCTCCCATGTATACACTTAAAGCTTTCAGTGTGCTGAGTAGACTCTAGGAGAACATAAGTCAGGAATGTATGAAGCTGTGTTTTGATCACTGCTATGAGAACACTGAGCAGCAGCTGCCTCTGCCTTTGCACTGGAAGCCCCTACAGGTTTGCCAAGATACTTGTGCTGAGAAAAGACAGACAGAAAAGTGGGAGGGTTCTTCTAAAGATTTGTACTTCAAGGAATCAGCATATGATTTAAACCTTTTTTAGCCTATCTCTGCTAAAGCCTAGGTTCAAGGAAGAAAGCTTAAAAATGTTTAAAATTAAATTTGCAGCTTTATCTTGAATGACTGGTGGTTATTAATTTGCTTAATATTAAATTGTACATAAACAAGTATCAACAGAGTAATATTCTCCTACAGGAAACAGTGATAGTCAAATACAGAAATCTCCAGATTCTGTATTCCAGGGTAGGGATGTTACAGATTTACCAATTCTGAATCACTAAAAATTCTGAAAACTGCTTATGCAAAGGAGAAAGAGTTTTCCCAGCCTAAAAATAACTGCACCTGAATGGACTGGAGAACACAGCTCTGAAGTCTGGGTCCTACCTCAAGTCCTGGGAAGCTGCGCTGCAGCACGCAGCTTGAGTTAGTCTTCTGTAATTTCTCTCACTAGGAATTCAAAGTGCTGCTTATGGAAAAACCTTTGTTGATGTTGTTCTCTTTGCTATAGGAAGGAAGAAAATATTTGCCAGCAGGAAAAGTATCACAAGAAAGCCTTCTGTACACTGCATCCAGGAGTAAAAAGATGATTCAATTTCAGTCTTAGGTACTTGGCAAGTTACAGATTTGAACAGCTGCAGAAAAATTCTTTACCTATCACTCACAGTCAAACAGCAGCCCCCTTTTTGATTTATTTGAGTTTATACAGATTGAGCCTCTTAATATTAATGCAATGATTTAATGCCATTCTAATACATTTCTTTAGCTGCAAGTTGAACTCAATATAGGTATAATTCATCTTAGTGTCATTTATAGGAACTTACCATTGCTGGTAAGCTCTCTCAATTTTATTTTTATTGAGTTTTAATTACAGATATTGAGCCACATTTCCTTTACCAAGCCACATGATCCCGACCCCACAGACCCTCATGTAAACACCTTAAAAACCTGATGAGCTCCCCCCATCAGCGTGACTCTTACCACGCTATTCCAGGGCATCTACTAGAGGGCTACACTCCTCCGTCCACACGAGCAATAGGACCACTCAATTACTTCTCCATATATATTACTTACTTTGAGAAAGCTGTTTCCGAACAGGAGAGAAAATAACTAGACCTATTGACTTAGTACATACATTATCTAATTATGCCAATACCAAAACTGCACAGTAAGAGAGCAGATCACATTCCTGCCTGAAAGCCATACATTGATGAAGACACAAAGCGCAGATCAGGTCTAACGCTCCCCCAAAAAGTGATTCTCTGCTTCCAAAGCAATGTATTTTATTTTCTCTTTCAAGCATTAATTATTCTGCCATCTTTTCTACAAAATACACCCTCACCATACAGTATTATCTTCTTCCCCAAGCCAGAATGGACACGTGTGTCCTCTGACAGCCTGGGCTCCCCACATCCCAACAGGGCTGGCAATAAAGTCAGAAGCCAGCATCAGGCTGTCACACTCACATGCCAGCACTCAACCCACTTTTTGAACTTCCCATCTTTTGGCAGGCACACGGAAACTCTTACGCATGTAGCGCCTAGAAAATTCATCCGACTCAGACATACAGATGTATTCAGCCCTGATAACCTGCTAATGATGCTAAAATAAATAATGTGGTTTGGAAAAAGCCAGTATCAGTCGTATCAGTGCACGGAACAGCCTCATCAAAACGGAAGTGTTTGTTTCTATCAGACCCTTCAATAAATGAAAGGTATCACCTTGGAAAGAGAATAAAAGGCAGCTTCTGAAAGTCAGGGAAGGTAGCAATTGCACAGCAGAATTCACGGTAGCTCATAGCTGCCCTTTCTGCCCATGCCTACCTTTGATACCATGCTTCACAACCCAGGCATGAAAGACAGCCTAGCATGGATGGCTCCTACTGCACTAACACGACTGCCATCATCACACTAGAGACCAGAGAATTTCCATCCCATGAACATCTCAGCCTGCCATTAGCATCAGTGCCACCCTGAGTCATGAGTTTCTCTACAGAAATCTTGTCTGCGCCTCTCAGCCTGGCACATTAATCAGAGCCACAATCACACCTTCAACTTGCCAAGTGTCCAGAGTTAAGCAAAGACAAACTGGACAGGGCAACACATCTCTTTGCTAAAGCACGAGAGAGCACAGAGTTCACAAGGCTGCCAGCAGGCTCAGCTACACCCCAGCAGTTCAGACATGCCATGGCTTTTATACCTGACAAGTTTCATTCAAAAATGAACAAAACTACCAAGGCTTTTCTGAGAAGCCTTTAATAGTTACCTTACTAAAGCTATTACCGAGATTATTCATGTCCAAGAAAATAGGACTTTACCAAGTGTAAAGTGTTATTGGTTTTAGTTATAGTTGGTTTTGGAAAAAAAAAACCCAAAAACAAAAACAAAAAAACAAACAGCAGCTAAAAATAGCTTTCCTGAAGCTCCAAAAACCAGAAACAATATTGACATAGCAATATAGGATTTTTTGTTTCGGAGTGTATTTTGACCAGCGTCAACATTCCAAGTTTCTCTGCTTCAGGTAAAACCACTTACGATTAACTTTAAACAAGCTCATGGTGGGCCACCATCTCCAGCTGGATTCAAGCAGCATCAGAGCCACACATCTGATCTCTTGGAAAGTTCAACTCCAGACTAAAGTTCTCTGCCTCAGCTCTGATGCCTTTTTCATGCCTTTGACTAAAGACCACCTTCCTGACCTGGCATTTTCTCAACAAAAGATCTCCAATAGTCTCAAGAGACAGTCTTGGGCTTGACCTTCACAGCAAAATGATGTCGGGAATGTTTAACAGGTCTGTGTCCCAACTGGTGAGTCAGAAAAGCAACATGCCCTCACAGAAGGACATCCACATACCTTCCCTGCTAACTGTAGTATCACTGACATCATGTTTTACTATGGTTTTCTCATCAAAATGACAAAATTGGATCCAGACCAGTATCCCAGGGCTGAAAAGACAATGAAGCTAATCCTTCCAGACGCTGTCTTCATCAGAGCTTCTAATATATCATTTAAACAATTTACCAAATTAGCACCAGGCCATATCTCAATCTGGCTGCTGCAAGCCAGACTCCCTTCCAGCCTGCATTTGCTCTTTTCCCCTTATATCCTCCCTGCTCACCCCACAGCAGTTTCTTGCTCTCAGCAAGAACCTCTTAACAGTCATCCACAACCCAGGGCCTGTGGGCAACACATTGCTTGCAATACACTCCAGTAATGATGTATTGGGTTTGCATGGCAAGGTTTTGGTAGCAGGGGGGCTGCAGGCTTCTGTGAGAAACTGCTAGAAGCTTCCCCTGTGTCTGACAGAGCCAATGCCAGCCAGCTCCAAGGCAGACCCACCACTGGCCAAGGCCGAGCCCATCAGCGACAGTGGTAGTGCCTCTGGGATAACAGATTTAAGAAGGGAAAAAAAGTTGCTGCAGAACAGAACTGCAGCTGGAGAGAGGAATGAGAACATGTGAGAGAAACAACCCTGCAGACCCCCAGGTCAGTGCAGAAGGAGGGGAGGAGGTGCTCCAGGCCCTGGAGCAGAGATTCCCCTGCAGCCTGTGGTGAAGACCATGGTGAGGCAGGCTGTCCCCCTGCAGTCCATGGAGGTCCACAGTGGAGCAGATCTCCACCTGCAGCCCGGGGAGGAGCCCACACGAGAGCAGGTAGATACCCGAAGGAGGCTGTGACCCCGTGGGAAGCCCGCGCTGGAGCAGGCTCCTGGCAGGACCTGTGGCCCCGTGGAGAGAGAAGCCCACGCTGGAGCAGGTTTTCTGGCAGGACTTGTGACCCCGCAGGGGACCCAGACTGGAGCAGTCTGTGCCTGAAGGACTGCAGCCCATGGAAGGGACCCACGCTGGAGCAGTTTGTGAAGGACTGCAGCCTGTGGGAAGGACTCACGTTGGAGAAGTTCATGGAGGACTGTCTCTTGTGGGAGGGACCCCACGCTGGAGAGGGGAAGAATGATGAGTCCTGCCCCTGAGGAGGAAGGAGTGGCAGAGACAACGTGTGATGAACTGCGCACAACCCCATTCCCCGTGCCCCTGCGCTGCTGGGGGCGCGAAGGGAGAGAAAATCAGGAGTGGAGTTGAGCCCGGGAAGGAGGGAAGGG